GAGCACAAAATCAATGGTAATCATAGTTTTTAAGAAACGGTTGTAGAAAATGCAGCGATTCCTCATTCTGTGCTCTTGAAAATGACAGTTGTTAAAAAAATAGTTTTCTAGGAGTTAATAAACTCGCTATTTGAATTTGAACTAGGTGCTTAACGTTATAGAAAAAAAGTTAAAATTACTTTATTTTTTGTTAAACTTCTTTTTTATCCTGTCTTATATGTAAAGATTTTTTAGTCTTAAAATGAACAATACCAATTTATTATTTTGTATAGTATTATCAGTATTTAAATCGATTAATGTAATTGGTAAATGAGTTTGTTCATCATCAGATTCACTAAAAAAGACAAAACAAAAAATGTAATATTCTTTTAATAATTATATTTAAGAAATATAATACATACGGTGCTCGATTAAAAACAATTTTACGATTTTGTAAACGTCGACGACGAGCATGTGTTGAAGGATCTAATGATGTACTTCGATGTTTTGTTTCAGCTAAAATAGATATAATCACAGTTGTCAAAAATAATTTTTAACATTTTCTATTCTTAATAATATTCAACTAGAATTATAACAGATTTTATTAACTTATCCTTTCATATAAATCAAATCTGACAAAAGATATATCAGTAATGTTTCATTAAGTGAACTAATATGTTTCCTCAAGTATCTTCATTTACATAATGAAAAAAAGAAAACTTTTTGAATTTGATCATGTATGTAGATGCCTATAACTATAATGTAAACAAAACATCAAATCTTGATGTATTATATTCAGGGAGAAATTCCATGAAGTAACTCATCACAAGTCTAGAATAATCTCAAAATATTTCATGCTCGTAGGTCGTATTTACATAGTTACAAACATTTTTTGCTAGACTTTTACCATAGCACTAGGTATTCACAAGAGTATTGAATAAAGAATATTTGATCGATCCTAAAATATTCTATTAAAAATGATTTCTTCTTGAAATAGTGTGCAAAATCATGTTGATTGAAAATCTGAGGAAATTCTTAGTATGATAAGTTTTACTGATAGACAAAACTAAAGATCAATAGGTTTTTATTCAAATCTACGATCAATATAGCATCGAATGGTAAAAATCAAGCAAAACCTATGAACATGAAGCCTTTTGGCGTTAATCATGTTGAGCAATTTTTTGATTAGTAATGCTTGTAAACAAAGAAGGGAGTTTACATTATTTTATCGTGTTTTTGAATAGATTTCATCTTAGACATAAAGCAACAAAATAAACTTTATGATCAATGATAAGAAATACTTTCAAATTTTTTCTTTATATCTCGCTATAAGTTTTTATAAGAAAGAAATTGAGATTTATTCATATCTAGAGAATCAATTTTTTGAAGAATAACGATGTCGCTCTATGAAAACAAGTATTAGTTGCTTCAACAGACTTTGTTTTGTGCTTTTTTTTTAATGTAAAAGAACTTTTAGGAAGTCTTTGAGATATAAAAATAGTTTATCAAAATGCCATTCAGCTCATAAGTAATTATGTTTCATGACATAAAAATAAAATTTTCTCAATGAAGTATTCAAAAATGGTCAAAAACCTCATTTCATAAAAGTAGCAGCTCTCTCAGACATTCAATTACTTGTTCTACTGAATACCGTTAAAAATAAAAACTATTACTCAACTTATATATTTAGTACGTCACTAAACTATCTCTTGTTAATTGTCATGCAAATCATAATATGAGAATCTCTCAAGTAAATCTCTCTTTTCAAATAAGAACATAATAGATTTTATTATATGAATACATATAAAAAAAGATTGAATAGAATTATTAGTTCAATTTCATGCAGAAGCATTGATTACTGATTGTTCTAGAACTGAAAAATTCTTTTCTAATAAGACTTTCAAATGTCATTTTAAAAAAAAAGACATATTTTTTCATAAACAAACCTCGACGTTGTTCGTTTTGTTGTGTAATACAATTTTTAATTGTATCAATCCAACGTAAATTCATTTCTTCCATTGTTTCTCCATTTGATGAAAGCTTTCAAAAAAATAAAAAATCAATTATTATTCAATAATAAAAACAAAGCTATTAGTGCAATTTCTACAGGATTTATATATGAAACATGACTTAGCTTCTATTGTTAATCATAACGAAATTATCTTATACTATCTATTTTAAGGCACATTTCTTTCCGATTCTTTTATCTAATCCTTCAGAAATGTAATAAGAAAATAGTTCAGATAGTATAATAAGATATTATGAAGTATCGACTACAAATTTTTACCATCATACTCTAACACTCTTTGTAGAGTTGTGTTTCATAACAAAAAAAAGCTAAAAGTCTATTTGTCAATATACTTGTATATTTCCCCATCATGGGGTTGAGAAGGTCTAACAGATTCGTCACTTATATATCAATTTTAGAAAAAGTTTTAACTTGGCTTTCGTCAGTCCCTTCAAACTCTTCTACATTTTCTCAGGTTTAATAAGATGAAAACTTAACTCAAAACATGTTATTCGATAGACAATTGAAAACTGTATCAGAAATTCTACCATGTGGTCCAGTAAATTGAGAAATTCTACGTAATAAATAATAAATACCTTTTTTTGGCCTGTTCAAAGTTTCCATTGATTAGCCTTTCCGTGAGAAAATTTCAACTGGAAATTAGTCATAGCATTTGTTTAATATGTCAAATTCGTAGAGAATTTTATTTTCTGCAGAACCATATATTATCGTCCCGACTGCGTACCATGCTTACATATGTAGAAGTGGTTTTGTTTTCATGTATATGAAAGCATGTGAAAATTGTAAGCGTTTACTAATGCAACAAGAAACGAAGAACGATTAAATAATCAAGTTGAAATCAGATATATGAGCAAATTCTAACTTTTTTGTATGTTTGCGTTTTTGAAGTTTTTTTGTTGAAACTTCGACTTCTGTCGTTCTATTTTAAATTTTGCTCTTTTCTGCTTGTTCAAATAATTCCAAAATTTTTAGATCTTCAACACATAATTTCGTTGAGATAGACACTTCAAAAACCACGAAATCTCACATTTTTGGTGAAGCATCGTAATAGGAATGAGTTTTGTAAAGAAAACAAGACACAAACAGAAAATGTACATTGCACGTTTTGTTTAGTATTCAATAGGCTATTTAATTCAATTATTTACGGGTGCAATTTCTTTCTACTTCCTGATTCTTTATTATTAAAACACTTTCACATACAGAGTGTAGGGTGAGATTGAAATGAGTGCAGAATGGATAAGTAAAAATTTTTTAAAGAGATTGAATTTTCCATTAGAAAGAGCATCGAATTTGCTCTGAAATATATGTTAAAATTCTGTGATAATTTTCTTTTAGTAGATCCGAAAAAATGGAGAGTATATTTTTCATTAGCCTTGTATGGTGAAATTTTCGAACTTGAGAGATGCGTAACTCTGGAAGGATTCATCTAATTCAGATGAAACTTATAGAAAAGGTATATTACAAAAAGTTGTATAAGTAGAAATAATTTCATTGTTCAACGATGCTTTGTTCTCAAACATTTTACATTTTATAACAAAACGTAGGGCGAGTTTCTTTTAGGGCGACATTTGTTTTGAAATTTTTTGGTTATTTCATAGAAAATTGACTAAAATTATACATTATTCTATTCGTAGAAGCAAACTCAATAAATCTACATATTTATTTATCTTCTGTAAGACTACTTACTGAGGCTGGAGTATAGAAATTCCTGGCACGACACTACCTTACGCGACACTTCCGCGCAAAATGAAATATTTTCGTCTTTCTGTTACATTCTTTTCTCATTGCTAAAAATAAATTAACCACTTTGGTTAAAAGATGATAGGAATATTCAATTTCTTATGCAGGAAAGGAACTTGTGAATCCTCTTATTGTGTGACCTACTAATGGATCGCATCCTCATGAATGTACTAATGTTTCATTGGTCAACTATATCTTATTCTAAAGATGAACCCATGTCTAATTAAAAACATAACATATGATGAACATTATGACAAAAGAAGAAGGACCTGACAAATAAAACAATAACACATAATGAAAAATGTTAGATAGAAAGAAAAAAAAATTCTATCATCTATTCGTTATAATTTAGACAACAAAGAATTAATTCAAGTTAAATTAATTCTTTGTTGTCTAGCCTGTGTGGAGCCCAATATAATAATATCAATGTTTGACCTTTCATTTTTCTCTCAGACAATGACAATAAGAAAATGTGAGCATATGAAATCAATATGAATAAACATTATTAATTACATATGAATACTTCGAATAACAATCCTTTAAATGTACTCGATTTACCTAATGAAATATTACTTAATATTATTAATAAACTAAGTTTCATCGATGTTTTCTATTCACTTGTGGATATCAATGAACGATTTAATCAATTATCGCTTGATCCTCTTTATATTCGTCATCTTAATATGACTGTTATGACTATGAAATCATTTTTTGAATATTCATTTTTCAGTAGATGATCAGGTTCTTTCAAGAATATGTGAAAATATCTTACCTCACATCCATTCACAAGTATATAAACTTACTGTTGAACAACATTCAATCGAACGTATTCTTCTGAATGCCAGTTATCCTAAACTTTACTCTATATCACTTGTTAATTTTCAAAAAGAAAAACTTCTTCACTATTTAACAGGTATATTATTAAGAATTAGTTTTGTTCGTTTCATTTTATAAAATAATGAAATACAAAATTAATTTTCATCTATATTCTTTTTACATTAAAGATGATTCAATTCTTCGTCATCTTCTTAGTCAACAAATTACATATCTAAATATCGATATTGAGAAGAAGTGTATTGATATGAAGAATGAGGATCTCAGTGGTATATATAGTTTTACAACACGACTGTGTGAAATTTCAAGGATATTTATATTGATTTTATCTTTATATAAACGGTTAATAAATTTGAATTTTTGTCAATTATTTTCTAAACGAAATGCGTCAATTTGTATTCATCAACTATCACAAACAATGTGTATGTCTGAAAGTTTAACTAAATTAAAAGTTAATGTCAAAGATTTTGATGATTGCCTTTATCTTCTTGATTCCAATCTCGAATGCTTATCGAAATTAATTATTAATGTGGAACATATTGGACCTAAAGAAAATGTTACGCTTGCCACAGTAAGAGAAATTTCGATGATTATAATTTGCGAAAATAACAATAAGTTGAATAAAACAAAGACATTTTTATTATTTTTGTAGAAAAAACTTCCTAAATTGAAATATTTTTCATTGTGCTCGATTTATGAAACATTTAATTATGATGAGAGAATTATTCCATTACTCCATCGAATGATAAATCTTGAAGAATTGATATTGTTTTTGTCTGTAGTAAAATTTAGCTCAGATGTTATTGATGGTATTCAATTACATGATGAAATTCTTGTTCATATGCCACGATTAAATAAATATACTTTCAGTATAAATACAGACCTTCTTATCGAAAATGATATAAAAACTGTTATTACAACAAAAGAAGACATTCAACATAGTTTCATTGGTAAAGAATTTGAACAAGTTCAAGTTGGTTCATATGTTTATTATAAACGATTGTGTTCCATAATTGAATAACATATCTATACACTTCCTTATCAATTTGAAAAATTTCTTCATCTAAACAACTCTTTTCAAGGTGGGATGTTTCATAATGTTCGATGTTTGACGATGAAGGATGATACACATCATTTTGAACACCAATTATTGAAAGTCATTTCGCAAGATTTTCCTTTTCTCAAAGAATTAATTATTAAGAATATTCTACCACAACAGAAGCAACATTCATCGTCATTGATTACATTTCGTCATCTTATCCGACTGAATCTAGCTGAGGCACATGTTGATTATGCTGAAGAATTTCTCGTCGATAAAAACATTCATTTACCTAGTTTATTGAATCTTCGCATTAAGTTTGAATCACTTGAAATGGTAACAAAGAATTTTACAAACGATGCAACACGTTTTACTTGTGCTAAATTAAAAAAACTACATATAGATGACGAGTTTGTTACGTCAAAAAATTTTCAAAAGTATTTTCCTTTATTATAAATGTTTGTTTTCTAAAAAATTCTTTTTGAATTAAAGTAATTCGTGAAAATTAAATATATTTGAATTAGCTCAAATGAAATCATAAGAACAAAAGAAATTTATGTTCGATTTTATACTTAAACAAATGTAATTTTATTGTTCTTTTATTATTGATAGTTCTATATCTACAGTTTAAAGAATCATTCAAACATGCATAATATTATTTCTTACTAAGGATTTTTTTGTTGTTTATTTAAAAATAAGAACTAACATGTGTTTCAGGAATATAGAGTTATTCTGTAGTTTAAAGATATTTAAAATATTCGTCTGTTCAAACTTCATTATTTTTCAAAATTTTCGTCTTTGGTTATCTATAAAATGGTTTATCTTTTGTTACGGCTAATAAAAATCACTTTTTTCTAAAATAGACTTCAAATGAACAGATGAAGAAAATTGTGTTTCTAGAATAACTTTTCCATCAAACTTCAATGATTTCATCTTTCGCTCATTCAATGAAAGTGTCTTTCGATATTTCTCTTTTCTATTTAATAGATAATGCAAAATCATCTGAAAATGTACGATTTGATGAGTTTATATATAGATTATTTGGTGGACAATGCTTCTTGTTAATGAAAAGAAGGAAAGGGTGTGGGTCGGTAGGTGGGTGTGAGGATGGGTAGAGTGTTCGTCACTGACGGGATGATTTACTATCCACACTCACACCCCATCCTTCAATTAACTGTTCATTGCGAAGTTTTCTCATATAAGAAACATCAGTCCTGTTGGTTCGTTGTTTCTATATGCATAAAAGAATTTCGACACCCAACTTCAATACTTGGGTATATGGGTCCATCGGTGTAAATTTTAGTGTTATAGTGAAATGCAGTACAAAGAAAGAGAAAAGACATGTAGAGAAAGAAAATAGTGAAAGCAACGAACATGTGCAATGGTGAGTGTATCTCGAAGAAACAAACTGTCTAATCGATGAAAATGTCATGCTTCAATGATGCAAATAAATAGAAACAGGTTGGAAGAAACCAGACAATTTCGTCATCGACAAATATGTAATACAGCCATTTGAGAACACGCATTAAAAAATTTCATACATTCCAGTATCATGCAGCACGTGAGTATACTTGATTTTCAACTTATTTAAGAGACATTCCATGAGATAATTCGGTAATACTTTTACAGGGCCATACGATTTAGAAACTGACGTGCTCTTCCTCGCTTTTATTTCTGCACACCAAATCTTAAATAAATTCCATTTTCTTGAAAACGGAGATAGCAAAAGCTCAAATATTTTTGAATTCGATTGATGGTAAAATGATTTTGTAATTTTCAAAAACTACTTGATTTACTGATGGTAGCATTTCAATCCGTTTTTCTGAAGAAAAGATTCTGTAAGAACGCATTGAAAAATTAATAACTATCTTTAACGATGTTTGAAAATTAGTTCAAAACTCATAGAAAACTAATTTTAGTTATACACAAAGGTAAAAATTAACATTACTTTTTGGAGTATCATTTTAACGATGACGACTATAGCATCATCATCTAATTGCATATACAGCGTAGACCAAAAGTAACATAACACACAATTTTTTTGATTTTTTTGTTCTTTGAACATAGTTAGATCTTATTTATATCACATATACTATGTAGTTGATAAAATATAAAGATGCAACATATAATCAGTTTCTAGGTGTAGTAATTTTTTCAAAAGCGTACAAATGCAGCGGGACCAAAAGTAAAGAAATAAGTGTGACAAGGAAACATTCACAAATATTGGAGCACTTTAGAATTCGGAACTTAGTACATCCTGTAGACATTGCCCAACTATATGTACTGCAGAAGACATTCGTCCCTATAGCTTATTTCTGAGGAGATCGAATATCTGTAATGAATTTTTGCTTTTATTGCCTGAGACTTGCAGCAAGATCCATTGTCGAATTTTGACTTAGAATGTTGGCCACATAAAGAGATTACCTAGACTAGTTCTCATAAGAAATTT